CTCCCCCTTATCCCCTTTTCCCTTCTCTCTTTTCGCCGTCCTCCTTCCTTCTCTTTTCTTTCCCTCTTTCCTCCCGTCCTTCCTCCTTCTTTTCCTTCCCCCTTTCCTCTCTTCCTCCTTCTCTCTTTCTTCCCCAACTCCCTCCTTCCCTTTTTCCCCCGTCTCTCTTTTCCTTCTTCTGACACTGCTGAACGTGGGGGAAGAAACCAACTAGCTGAAATATTTGGAGCAGGCTGTGTCATCCAAACAGTCCCTTAATATTTCTGCAGAATATTACATTTAGTAAGAGTCGTTCACGTGTTGTCCACTTTGACCCTAATTAAGACCAGTCCTAAAAGAACGCTCTACTAGTAAGTTAGGCATCATTATCCCCATCGTGCAGCAGGAAACTGACCCCCAAGATCCCCGGGCTGGCTCTGGGTGCCGTCCGCAAACAGGAAGGCCAGGGCGGGAGCCCAGGCGGCCAATTGCACAGCACGGGAGGCAGCGTTACGGCAGTTTCTCGGATGGCTTTCAACTTGACTTGGCAGAAGCCAGAATATTTTTAGACGTTTAAACACGATAAATACAATAATTAATCCACAAGCGAAAACAGCCAACTCCCTCCATCTGCCCGGTTGCGCATTTATAAAAGCGGTTGCTTGGCAACTGCTGCTGCCAACTTTCGACCAATGAGCACGCTGTTAGCCAAAGGACTCCCTCCCGGGTCAACGTCCTACCGCGCATGTGCCATCGCTTCCGGACGCCACCGGAAGTTGTTTCGGGGCGCAGGCGCGCTGTGTCTGCCGCGGTAGTCTGGGGTTTATCCGCGGTAGCGGTAGCTTGGCGGGAGGCTTACGCGGCCGTCGGGAGAAAACCGGAGCTCCTGGGCTTCCTGCGCCCGCGCACTCGGCCCTTCTCCTGCCCCCCGGGACGAATTCACAGGCCCTCCGTCCCCCCGCTGGCCGCCGGGACGCGCATCTCAGGTAGGCCCGAGCCGCGTCCCCGCTACCCGTTCCCCGCCGCCATGGCGCACGCGGAGGCCGGGTCCCCTTGGAGGCCGCCTCGCTGTAGGGTGCCGGGGCGCGCGAGGGACCATCCTCGAGCTCGTCGGTTGCCCCTGGGTGCGGGGTCCGAGCTGGAAGGAGGCCTGGGGCCGCCTGGGGTCTCAGCCGTCGTTTGGGGGTGGGGGGAGCTGAGGCCCCGCGAAGGATCACATTGATTATTGCAGTGTCTGTCGTCTCTGCTCTCCTCCTACGCACCTGGCTTCTCATCAGACACATGTCGCTCCTCGGGGAGCCTGCCCTGGCCGCTGTGCAGAAGGGCGTCTTAGAGTCCGTCCCGCGTCGACCTACTTCCTTCCCTTGGTGGCCCTCGTCACTGTCCGACCCCGAGTCTGTGTGTGTGTCTGCCTTCCCCGCCAAGTGTGGGTGTGCACACGTCCAGGCAGCTCTTCTCCAGGAAGCGTCTGTGCCTGCGCTCTGAGTCCCGGCTGTGCCTGGGCACTGCGTGTGCGTTAAGGGGAGAAGCCAGGTAGGTCTCTGGCTCGTGGAGCTGCCTTCAGGCAGGGAGAGATCCTGTGTATGACAGGTGCCTGAAGAAAACGGGGTGCGGTGGGAGGTTGGGCATGTCACACTGGGCAGGGAAAGCCTCTACCAGGGGAGCGACTATTAAAAAGGAACTTCTGATGGCTTTATTGAAGTGTAATTTACATAATATAAAAATTCACCCATTTGGCCAGGCATGGTGGCTTACACCTGTCATCTCAGCATTTTGGGAGACAGAGGTGAGAGAATTGCCTGAGGATTGTTCGAGACCAGTCTGGGCAACTTGGTAAGACCTCATCTCTACAATAAATCAAAAAATTCCCCAAGCGTGGTGGCGCGTGCCTGTGGTTCCAGCTACTTGGAAGGCGGAGGGAGAAGAATCACCTGAGCCCAGCAGGTCGAGGCTGTTGGTGGCTGTGAGGGTGCCACTTCACTCCAGCCTGGGCGACAGAGTGAGACACCTACTTAAAAAAAAAAAAGGAGAGAAAAAAAACCATTTGAAGTGTACGTTCTGATGAGTTTGGGAAACCTGCAGTTGTGCAAATGCCACAACAGTGCGGTTTTAGGACATTTGCATCACCCCCAAAAGATTCTGAGGCGGCAACTTTTGAACTAGGATCTGAAGATTGAAACAGATGCAGATGGTTCCAGGCTGAAGGAACCGCAGTGGGCTTGCTCCAGGCAGGGATGAGACTGCTGAGTTCAGGGACAGAGAGGAGACCAGCAGCCTCGAAGGCCAAGTGCAGCAGGGAGAGGGTGCATCAGGGGAGCAGGCAGGTTCCGCAGGCACTGAGCTGTCTAAGCTTCCATGCCCCGGGTGAGCTGCGGTCTTCATGGTAGAGACCACCTGAGTGGCTTCTACCCACTGGGTGCTTTTCCCTGATGCTGGAAATGTCCTCTCCCAACTGAAAGACTAAGGAAGGGGAATAGAACGGACGTGACATTTGCTGAGGACCTGTGGTGTTTCAGGCATTCTGTGTGCAACCTCCCTTAGCTCTTAAAACTGTCAAATAGCCGGGCTCGGTGGCTCAGCCTGTAATCCCGCACCTTTGGGAAGCTGAGGTGAGTGGATTGCCTGAGCCCGCGGGTTTGTGACCCGCCTGGGCAACTTGGCGAGACCTCATCTCTACAATAAATCAAAAACTAGCTGAGCGTGGTAGCGCGCGCCTGTAGTTCCAGCTACTTGGAAGGCTGAGGCGGAAGGATCGCCGGAGCCCAGCAGGTTGAGGCTGCGGTGGCCAGGAGCGGCCACTGCACTCCAGTCTGGGTGACAGAGTGAGACTCCAACTCAAAAAATAAATAAAACTGCCAAGTAGATGTTAGTGTTCTATTTTACAGATGAGAAATTCAAGGCCAAGTAACCTGCCCAAAGCCACATAGCTAGCTCCCGGACTCTGATTGGAGAAGCCTTGTCTTTCCTTTTTTCATTCACATGGTTTATTGGGGTTTCAAGTCCATCTCTGCATTTGAGGCAGAGGTGTGGTCAGCAAGAGTGTGGTCAGCTGGCAGCACTTCCCACAAAGTCTCTGAGATACTGCTCCTCTTGTTTTGTGCTTGCTTGCTTATCAGAAAGCTGGGGGAGTACACTGCTTCTCTGAATTCCTTGCGGTTTCCATTCTGTATTGTCTTGTTTAAGGATGTTACCCTTGTCGGCAATTATGTCACTCAGGCATCAATTAGGCTCCTTTCTGAGAGATGATGGACGTGGTGGACTTCTGGGTGTGTGTGTGTGTGTGTGTGTGTGTGTGTTTAAAGATAGGATTTCACTCTGTCACCCAGGCTGGAGTACAGTGGATCAATCATAGCTAACTGCAGCCTTGAACTCCTGACCTCAAGTGATCCTCCTGCCTCAGCCTCCCAAAGTGCAGGGATTACAGGTGTGCACCCAACCTTCATAGGAGACTTCTGTGTATAAAAATTTGGTAACTGGGCCTGGCACAGTGGCTCATACCTGTAATCCCAGCATTTTGGGAGGCCAAGGTGGGAGGATTGCTTGAGCCCAGGAGTTCAAGACCAGCCTGGACAATAGACTCTCTACAAAAAAAAATTTTTTTTTTTTTTGAGTCAGAATCTCACTCTTAACCAAGCTGAAGTGCAGCGGCACGCTTATGGCCACCACAACCTTAACCTACAGGGTTCAGGAAGTCCTTCTGCTTCAGCTTTCCAAGTAGCTGCAACTACAGGCATGTGCCACCATACCTGGCTAATTTTTTTCGTTTTTTGATTTATGCAGAGATGAGGTCTCATCATGTTGCCCAGGCAGTCTCGAATCCCTGGGCTCAGGCAATCTTCTCACCTCAGCCTCCCAAAGTGCTAGGATTAAAGGCGTGAGCCACCATGCCCAGCTTACAAAAATTAAAAAAAATTATCCAGGTGTGATGGCACCTGTAGTCCTAGCTACTTGGGATGCCTAGGGGAAGGCTAGTCAGAGTCAAGGAAGTTGAGGCTGTGATGAGCTGTGATCGTACCACTGCCGTCTAGCCTGGGTGACAGAGGAGACCCTGACTCAAAAAAGAAATTTGGTACCAGGATTGAAATATGGCTTCAATGTATGAGAGTCATCAGGGCGTTTTGTCACATAGACTCTCTCTGGAAGGAAAAGAGAAGGGAAGGTTGTTGTGTGTGTATGTTTATCGTACTAGCTACTGTTCATTTTCTACATAATCTGATTTGAATCTGAGCGCAGCTCTGGAGAAGTTGTTCTGTTTCTGTATTTTGACAGAGCAGAGAACTGAGGCCTGGTGAGATGAAAATCTGAGTTCCATGCCGTGCAGAGGCCACTGAAGCTCTGGGGGGCCCTGTGAGACTGGGGGACCCAGGGGAAGACTCAGGGTGGGAAGAGTCTTGCTGAGTAAATGTCCTGAACATAAAGCCAGAGCTTTGGTACTCAAGGACACTGAACAGATACTTTCTTAAACTATTCCAACAAAGAGATTGCTGGATCGCTGGTAGGACCCAGCTGTTTTAGATAATTCCATGGACGCAGAAATTAGTAAGAGAAAGGGAATTCCTGTGAGGTGGAAACTTGGAAGAATGGGGCCTCTGTCCTGTTTACTGTGTATTCCTGGTGTGTAATTCAGTGTCTGCATGTAAAGAATGAACGAGTTTATTTTCTAGCTGGTGACTAAAAAATAGTCTGCTGTAATGTGCCGATACTGGTTCATTAATGGTGACAATTTTACCTTCATAATACAAGATACTAATAATAGGGGACACAGGACAATGGAGTGGACAGCAGTTCTGTCTTTACAATTTCTATCAACCTAAAACTGCTCTAACATAGAAAGTTGATTTTGGAGGAGCACTCTGCTTGTCACATATCCAGTCTCTTCTGAAGAGAGAGGCCTGGCCTCGAACTATTTTGAGTGTTTCCCCGACTATGACTTTGCTATCTTTGCATTGCCTCGCAGTGGTATTTCTTACTTTAGAAAGGGCCTGTCCTTAACATTTTCCTTTTTTTTTTAAAGGGCAAAAATGAGTCTGTTTGGAACAACCTCCGGCTTTGGGACTGGTGGGACCAGCATGTTTGGCAGCACAACCACAGATAATCACAACCCTATGAAGGTACCACACAAAATTGGAGCACAGAAAATGTGTGGCCCCTGCACAAGTGTCCTTTCTTCCAGACTGACCAGGTCTTCGGAGTTACCTGAGGCACTTGTGAAAGCTGCATGTTCCCAGGGCTCAGCCCAGGACTATAGAATAGAAATTTCTGCGGTTGGGGAGGGGAGGGCAGGCGACGATTGTGACCAAGCTTGGTGGGGGGCGGAGCAGGAGTGAGCTATGGGCCATCACTTTGAAAACGAGTCTGTGGAGCACTGCTCCTCATCCCGGCAGTGTTCATGCCCCTCTTTTTGGTCAGAATCAGAAAAGGTCTACTTTGTGGTGCTACATGTGGTTTTTGTTGTTGTTTTGTTTGTTTTTTGTTTATTTGAGTGGGAGTCTCCCTCTGTCGCTCAGGCTGGAGCGCAGTAGCATATTGCTCACAGCCACCATAACCTCGAGTTGCTGGGCTCAGGTGATCCTTCTGCCTCAGCCTTCCAAGTAGCTGGACCCACAGGCTTGTGCCACCATGCCTGGCTGATTTTTTGATTTATTGTAGAGATGAAGTCTCACCAAGTTGCCCAGGCTGGTCTCGAACCCATGCACTCTGGCAGTTCTTTCACTTCGGCCTCCCAAAGTTTGGGATTATAAGTATGAGCTACTGCATGCAGCCCCACATGCGTTTTTAATGTTGACTTTTCCCCTAGGATATTGAAGTTACATCTTCTCCCGATGACAGCATCGGCTGTCTGTCCTTCAGCCCACCGACCTTGCCGGGGAACTTTCTTATTGCGGGATCGTGGGCTAACGACGTAAGTGCTCCTTAAATGTATGTTCTAGAAATCATCTCTTCTTTGTGGGCAAGTGTCACTTTAGCTCCGTTTTTATTCCCCAAGGTAATGAATCAGGGTTAAGACTTACTCATGGCCTTTTTTAAGAAGTCAATTTAGAGAGCGTGAGCTCTTCTGAGTGGCAGGCATGGCTTGCTCTTGCAGTGATTTTTGTTAGAGAGCACAATCATATGCATTGCTCAAAGAGTCCTACTTGAGCTCGACTTGAAGGTATCCCCAAGTCAGATGTCACCTTCATTGAGGATGAGCCCCCTCTGTGGTAGCACACATAAGCACACTGCCTTTGTTGACATCCTGAAAGGGTTCTTCAGGAGTATGTTAAACATTTTTAGCTTGAGACAGTCTTGCATGGACATTCTACTTGTCTGTCATGTGCAAAGGGGAAGATAAAACCCTGGTACAAAAACTAAGGAAAGGATGTGAATGGGCACTTCATGAGAGGAGGATTAGGTGTAGACCACTGAGCCATGTGCGGCGCCAGGTGAGCACAGGTGCACGTTAGCAAGAATACAAGGTGTAGGAAAAGAGCGGCGCCGGAGGGAGAGCACACCTCACTTGTGCTGCTGGGATATGCTATTTGAGAGCTCTTCCAGAGGGTCAGAGGTATCCCCATTTCTCATGAACTGATTTTTTTAAAAATCAGAAATCCTTAAGTTTATACACTTTGTCTCATTGATTCCCTTCTACAACTTCTGGAAATCTGATACTATATTTTATATGTATTATCTAAATTAAGTTAATGTCTGTCACAGTCATGGTCAAGGTGTTGACTGGCTAACGTCGAACGAAGGGAACTTACTGTCATCCCTGTTTTATGAATCAAGATACTGGGGAAGTTGGTTAATGTTTCAGTCACATGGCTGAGTGGACAGCAAAGCCGGATGCCATGACCGCACTGGCCAGTGCAGGCTGTACTTCCTACTGCCTCTCAGAAGCTGGTGAAAAATTGGAAAATTGTCATATTCAATACTAGTGGCAATTTATGAAATTTTTTTTTTTTTTTTGAGTTGGAGTCTCACTCTGTTGCCCAGACTGAAATGCAGTGGCCACTCCCGGCCACCACAGCCTCGACCTGCTGGGCTCCGGTGATCCTTCTGCCTCAGCCCTCCGAGTAGCTGGAACTACAGGCACACGCTACCACGCCTGGCTAATTTTTTGATTTATTGTAGAGATGAGGTCTCGCCAAGTTGTCCAGGCGGGTCTTGAACCCGCGGGCTCAGGAAATCCACTCACCTCAGCCTCCCAAAGCACGGGATTACAGGCTGAGCCACCGAGCCCAACTATGAAATGTTAAGTTTTTGGAAAAGATCTTAGATGTGGCCTGCAGTAGGGTAGCAGAGGGTGAGGAGAGCAGGAGGGAGGGAGGTGGTCAGGGTTGGGCAAGTTTGCATTTCACATGTAGTTTCTGGAAAGATTTTGGTTGATTTACTGCTAAAAAAAAAACAAAAACAAAAAGTGTTTAAGATGAACAGACCAATGACGCAGGTGAGAAAAGCTGTAGCTACAAGACGAAGACACTGGGAATTTGATGTTTTCAGGGAGACACATGTCCATGGAAGCCTGCACGTGGAGGTGTGGCTGTCTGGTGGGATCAGGTAGATTTCTATTTTCTAGTCAGCATTTACAAGATCTCTGGGTAAATGCACTACCCTTTTAATCAGAGGAAAATGATATGAAGAGTTAAAGTACTCATAGAAGAGCAGTCAGTTTACACCATAGTCTTGGTTCTGTGAGGGGCAGGAGGTCCCTCTGCTTCAGAAGACCGGTCTTATAGATGCAGTGGAAAAATTCTCTGCAGTTTCAGGTATCAGCAATAGAATTTCAGTAAGGAATTTATATGTATATGTATATATGTACAGATGTAGATACATATATAGATATAATTTCTATCTATATTTATATGTATATGTACATATATATGTATTTCCTTTTACAAAATAAAAAAGGCATTTCTCATCTTGTGGCATCTTGCAGTTAGCAAGTAATCTAAAAGTCCCTCAAACTTCAGTCATAAATACGTGAGATACAGTTCAGATTGCCTCAGGCATCTTAAATCAGGAGGTTTTGTGTTCAGAATGAGTATATTTTCATGACTTAGGAGTAGGACAGTAGTTGCTTGTGTATATATCTCACTTGCTTCACTCCTAAGGTTAGATGATTAGGTTGAGAAGTCCATGTATGGACACTGTTATTAACTGTTACCCCGCTGCTTATCTACTGTTCAGTGCAGTTAATACATTATGAATCGCTGTGTTTGCATTAATTTGTCTTGTGACCACAGGTTCGCTGCTGGGAAGTTCAAGACAGTGGACAGACCATTCCAAAAGCCCAGCAGATGCACACTGGGCCCGTGCTGGATGTCTGCTGGAGCGATGTATGAGCCACTCTGTTTCTGGTGTTTTGTGGTACTTAAATAAAGTACAGTGTAACTCAGAATAGTTAATAATCTGAACATAAATGCCATGTATGAATTCTAAGGTTTTGAATGGAAATACAGTGCTTTATTGATTTTTTTTTTTTTTTTTTGAGTCGTAGTCTCACTCTGTCGCCCAGGCTGTAGTGCAGTGGCACGTTCATGGCCACCACAGCCTCAAGCTGCCAGACTCGAGTGATCCTTCCGCTTTAGCCTTCCTAGTAGCTGGAACTACATGTGTGCACCACCATGCCCAGCTAATTTTTTGATTTGTTGTTGGGACAAGGTCTCACTAAGTTGCTCAGGCTGGTCTTGAACCTGTGGACTCAGGCAATCCTCTCACCTTAGCCTCCCAGAATGCTGGGATTACAGGTGTGAGCTACCATGCCCAACTTATTGATTTCTTACTGTTAGCTTTAGTTAAGAACTGGAAGCTTTTCTTGCATTACATTTTTGTTTTTGTAGTCGGGAAAGTTTAATAAAAGGATCATGCACAGAGGAAACAGTAGGGAGGCCACAGGGGCAGGAGACTGGGGTCAGCACCCACCTGGCTCCTCTCTCCTGCTGCTGCTGCTGCTGCTGCCGGTGTTGATGTCTGCACCCCACTGAAGGGAGCGCGCAGAGGGGCCGACTCTGTGCTCCCTGCTGAGGAGGCTGAGCCTTGAGGCCCTTCATCTGCAGAGGCCCTTTTATGTCAGGTTTATTAAGTATGATTTGCATACAGTACATCGAACCTTTCTAGTGCACATCTCCGTGAGTTTTAAGAAATGAAAGTTGTGTTCAAGATCTGAGAACAGGTGCATCAACTCTCCTGTAGTCATCCTTACAAATTTAGACATTTTAGATTTATGTTTTTTAATAGAGGAAAGAAAAATGTGGCACTATGTTTACAATTAATGAATCTTTGTGAAGTAATTATAAGCACTTATCATTTTGTTTCTGCAACTTTTCTAAAGGCCTAAACTTTATCAAAATAACTTTTTTTTTTTTAAGTTGGGGATCTCACTCTGTCACCTAGGCTGGAGTGCAGTGGCACAATCTCGGCCATCGCAGCTGTGACCTGGGCTCAAACAACCCTTGCACCTTAGCCTCCTGGTAGCTGGGACTACAGGTGCCTGTCCCCATGCCCAGCTAATTGCTTAATTTTTATTTTTTGGTCAGAGGTGGACTCTGCTGTGTTGCCTAGGCTGGTCTTGAACTCCTGAGCAGTCCTCCTGCCTCAGCTTCCCAAAGTACTGGGAGTGCAGATGTGAGCCACGGCACCCAGCAAAAGAAAACGTTTTAAAGGTGACCCATGGTTGCTTTGCAAGGAAAGCTGGGATCAAGGTTGGGAGAGAGAGTTTTCACTGATTTGTGATTTCTGAGTGTATTTATTTTGCTTGTATGTTCTCTTAGAAACATAAGTCAATAATAAAATACAGAGCTACAGATATATTTTTTGTATGACACTATAGTTTACCATACACCTGCCCCCAGATAATTGAAAAATAAAAATTGCAAAACAAAGTTTGCCTTGATATAGTTAGCCTAATCTCTAAATGTAGGTAGAGATCAAGCTTTTCTTAGAATGCAGACTTTCTCTGTTTTATTTTAGGATGGGAGCAAGGTGTTTACGGCATCATGTGATAAAACAGCCAAGATGTGGGACCTCAACAGTAATCAAGCAATACAGATCGCACAGGTAGCGAGTGCCCTCTGCAGGAGGCTGGGCAGACTGCTGGGACCCATCGCTGGGATTGTAATTCTTTATCATAGTTCTCTCCTGGAAAAAATGTAATTCGACACTATCCAGTCAGGTAGCCTTAATATACCAGAAACCACTTCAGCATACAAAAATAAGACAAATTGTATAACCACTCTCATTCTTACTAGTATTTCACAGACTGCTTTGTCATGGCTCTTGCATATATGTGTGGATGGCCTTTAAGGAGTTAGCGATCTTAAAATACACTCAAGATCAGCGTGACAGGTTGTTCTGGGCCTTCACAGGCTTGACAGGCTCCAGCGCCCATGTGCCAACACGTTTCACCAGGTATTCCCAGGATGCCTGCTGTAACTGGGCACTGGCCCCAGGGGCTAGAAGTACAGCAGGGAGCACGAGATGCTTCCCTGTACCTGTGGAGCTTTATGACCAGGGACAACAGGCAGGCACTGCGTGAAGAAGGCTAAGAAGGTGGGAGGACCTAGAGCCAGAGTTCAGCCTGGACGAGGCTTCAAGGAGCACCCTCAGCCTGAAGCATTTCTGGAAAGCCCTGTTTATAGTCCAGCTGTGTACTTGAAGCTTCTTGCTCCCTCAGTGCATGTCAGCTTAGCAAGTCAGTAGAACTGTGGAGCAGCTCTTCACCAGCTCTGCTGTCTCCCCAGGAAGGGCTCACGTGGATTGCAGTTGCTCGAATGAAAGGTAGATAGAGGTTCTTGTGTTCAATTGAATATTTTCATCATGGGGAATTACCAAAATATCTTGGGCTTTTTATTTGGTAGAACCTCAATATTTAAAGTAGCTGCCTCTGTTTGAATTTCCAGCACTAAGCTGTTCAGCACATTGCCACATTGACCTTGATCTGTCTTGCTTGTGTCTTGTTGAAAGCATGATGCCCCTGTGAAAACCATACATTGGATCAAAGCCCCAAACTACAGCTGTGTGATGACTGGGAGCTGGGACAAGACCCTGAAGGTACCATGCAGTCAGGGCACTGCTCAGCCTGTTGGGACTGACATCTGTTCTTGCACCATTTGAACTTGAGCTCCGAATGGTCACATACTGGCTTCTCTTTTTTGCTTTTAGTTTTGGGATACTCGATCATCAAATCCTATGATGGTTTTACAACTCCCTGAAAGGTGTTACTGTGCTGACGTGGTAAGGAATTTCTCTCTCTCTCTCTCTCTCTCTCTCTCTCTCTCTCTCTCTCGCTCTCGCTCTCTCTCTCTCTCTCTCTCTCTCTCTCTCTCTCTATATATATATATATATATATATTTCCTTTTATAAAACAAAGTAGGCATTTCTGAAAGGTGTTACTGTGCTGACGTGGTAAGGAATTTCTCTCTCTCTCGCTCTTGCTCTCGCTCTCGCTCTCTCTCTCTCTCTCTCTCTCTATATATATATATATATTTCCTTTTATAAAACAAAGTAGGCATTTCTGAAAGGTGTTACTGTGCTGATGTGGTAAGGAATTTCTCTCTCTCTCTCTCTCTCTCTCTCTCTCTCTCTCTCTCTCTCGCTCTCTCTCTCTCTCTCTCTCTCTCTCTCTCTCTCTCTCTCTATATATATATATATATATATATATTTCCTTTTATAAAACAAAGTAGGCATTTCTCACCTTGTGGCATCTTGCAGTTAGCAGGTAATCTAAAAGTTCCTCAAACTCCAGTCATAGATACATGAGACACAATTCAGATCGCCTTAGTCATCTTAAATCAGGAGATTTTTGTGTTGCAGTGGTTCCCAAATTACCAAATACTGGGTGTCAAGTGTTTTTGTCACTCATTTGAGCATGTGCAGTTGGCTACATGCCATCCCTAGTGTGACATCTGTCATGTAGCAATAGGAAAACTTAAAACTTTTTGGTGTGGTACTAGGTCCTTGGGGACTGTCAGTGGGATAGAAACAAGAACTGTTTCCATCCTTTTAGTCACGTCTTAAAAATTTGTACCAACTGTCCCAGTAATTCCACTTTAAAGAATTCAGTATGAGAAAAATAGTCAAAGATGCAAATTGGTCTTTGAGATGGACATAGGTAGGTAAACCCTCTGGTGGTTCACTGCAGGGACTATTAGGTGGCCACTGCTGGTGTATGACACAGACTGATGTTTGTGAAAAGTGCTTTGAAAAAAGGATACGGATTATCCAGGAGCATGCTCCACACCAGGTGTGATGCTTAGAAAGACTGGGATGGAACATACCATGACCTTGGCAGTTCTCATTGGAGGATGGCATAGGGGAATTTTATTGCTCCTCGGTTCCTGAGTGTACTTTCTGATTAGCCACATATTTTATTTTATGATTTATTTATTAATTTAATTTAATTTATTTGATTAATTGTAGAGATGAGGTCTCACCAAGTTGCCCAGGTGGGTCTCGAACCCGCAGGCTCAGGCAATCCACTTGCCTTGGCCTTCCAAAGCGCAGAATTAAAGGCTGAGCCACTGAGCCCGGCCTGGTCACATACTTTATAGCTAGTTTTAAAACAGGGGTCTTTTAAAATTATGCAAACGTTCTACTTTCAAATAGTATTTCTCCAGGTTTTAGTGAAACATGAAGATATCATTGGATTATTAAACTTAAAAAATTCAGACTTAATTTTGTGACCAAATTTTCCTAGTGTGTTGGTCTAAAGAGCACACTCCTCCATCTGATGCCTGCTTTCCCCCATCCCCAGATATATCCCATGGCTGTGGTGGCAACTGCGGAGAGGGGCCTGATCGTCTACCAGTTGGAGAACCAGCCTTCCGAGTTCAGGAGGATCGAATCACCACTGAAACATCAGGTGAGTCAAAAGCCAGGAAGCATGCAGTTAGCACCTGTGTGTGCAAGATTGTGCTCCCAAGTGTAATAAGATTGAATAAGGATAGATACACAGATACTCAGTGAACAAATATTTCCCATCCCTGAGTAGCTGAACCTACCTGTCCTATCCAGGATAGCCCAGGATAGCTGAGTGCTACTGGATTGTAGGACCAGGGGGTCACTGGAAACCTGCTGACAGTGGTTTTCAGATCAGTAGGAGAAATGGCATTCAAATGTTAATGCTCACAGAGTCCTGCAGAGATCTCAAAGAAGGGTGGTATGGTTGGCACTTGATACCACCTTGAGGTTACAGAGGCTCAGAGCATGACCTGAGACAGGTTGTGGGAGGGACAGAGGAGGATGTCCAGCGCAAAGGTAGTCTTGCTGTGTAGTAGAGCCTCACGGTGTGCCTTTAGGAACACATGGTCTTTCCTTTAGACCCCGGTAGGTGTCAACTCTTACTCTTCCCTAGACCAGGAGAAGGAAGGCCTTGGGGAACGCCTGGCTGTGCATGCAGCTTCCTCTCCAGGCGCGTGCCTCCCTGCTGAAGACAGGTGTTCGGCTCCTATCTCCAGCCCTGCACAATGGCCATCTTGAAATGTGCCAACAGAGTATGTTTTGGGGTGAAATATTTGGTTTCCCTCAGAAGAAAACTGCACATCTGGATGGGTCAGCTCCAGGTGACTCTGTTGCTCCTGCCATCCCTGTGGCTTCCATGCGTGGATGGCTGCTAGGCTTTTCCTCTAGTTTCATTCTCTGGCTGCCGCGGGCTCTGGGCCTCCTTCACTTCTGCTAACTCCTAGGCTCTCCTTCAGCCTTTGTCTCAGCGAGTCAGAGAGCAAGGAAGCTGGTGGCCTGGGAACTCCTCACCTGTTACTTGTCTGGCTGAACATCCACCCGCACCGCCTCCTGGCCTGTCCTCCCCCACTGGGTGGAGACTGTTCTGTGGCCTGTTTTGTGGTGGGACCCTGTGGGTGCCAACCTTTTCGGGACCTTGTGCAGAGAGGGTCTCCTCTCCCGTGTCTCAGTCTGTTCCCCTTCTCAGCACTTTTCCATCAGACTGAAGCACATCTGAGTCCCTTGACCGATGCCCTCTTCCAGACCCATCCTGGTTCCTTCCCCTTCACAGCCGGATATCTTGCGTGACCTATCTCTGTTCCCTGACCTCCCACTTATTTCTCACCCTCTGCTGAGACCCTGTGCCCCCAACCACTGGAACTGTTCTGCCGTGACCTCCAGTGTTGTCTTCACTGGTCGCTACTGTGGACACAGATCAGCTGCCCTCTGCTGATAGCCCCAATGACAATCATTCTCACATGCTCCCAAGCATTTCCCTGGCTCCGTGAGGCTAGCCTCTCACCTCCGGTCTCTCTGACTGTGACTTTGCTTCCTGCTGGCTCTTTGCGAAGCGTGGAGGCTCCTCAGACATTTGCCCAGGCCACTGCCTTCTCCACCCCTGCACAGCCTGGTCTCCCACCCACGGTCGGTGGTTAGTCACACCCCTTGGCCAGGAGACCTCACTTCAGTGCTCTCGACCAGGACACCTAGTGGACAGCTCCATTGTGTGTCCCCAGGTTTCAGCCTCCAGTGTCCCACACCAGGCCTGAGGGCACTTCCTGCTGCACCTCATCCAGATGGCATGTTCCTCCGGTTCTCCCTGGCCACTGCCCCAACATCACGACACCACATATTTTGTCCATATATGTGTGCACGTGTGTCAACACATATCAGCACTATGCTTGGTCTTGCTTTGCCCACTGGAACATGAGCGCGGGGAGTGGGGTGGGGGGCTGGTTGTGTTTGTCGCTGCTTCATTCAGTGCCTGGAACCAGGCCTGATGTGTAGACAGCTCCTGTGAATGTTCATGGAGTGAGTGCTGGATCCTGTCCTGTCCCTCCTGGCCCCCAGCCTGTTCCTCCTGACACGCTTCACACCCACTAAAAGAGATCTTCTGCTGGCTGTCATTGCCAGAAGTCTAGACATCCTCCCTGATCGCCTCTCCCTCCTCTCCTTCCTCTCTCATTAGCTGTCAGGCTCCCTGTCTTCTCCCCTGGAGGGATCTGGGCTGTGCTTCTTCTCTTCCGCCCTCCTGCCACATCTAGTCCAAAGCCTCTGTTTCCTGACCTCCCTCTCATTTCCCGCTGTCGGCTGAGATCCTGCTCCTCCAACCGCTGGGACTATTCCCATGTGACCTCCAGTGTTTTCACCGGTCACTCCTGTGGACACGATCAGCCACTCTCTGCTGTGGCAGCCCCATAGACCACTTAGATAACAGCTTGACGACATTGGTCTTGGCAGAATCTTTTGGATGTGACTTCAAAAGCCAAAACAGCCGGGTGGGGCCACGTCATCAACTAGAGACCTTCCACCAAGCAAGGACCACAACTGCCAGCAGAATGGGGAGGCAACTTGTGAGATGGGAGAAGAGAGATGGAAAATATTTCTGACAAGGGGTTGGTTTCCAAAATGTGTAAGGACTCCTACAACTCAATAGCAAACTAATAACACAGTTTAAAGGTGAACCAAGGACGGGCACCAGTGGCTTACGCCTATAATCAGAGTACCTTGGGAGGCCGAATTGAGAGGATTGCTTGAGCCCAGAGGTTTGAAACCAGCCTGGGCAACTTGGCAAGACCTTATCTCTACAATAAATCAAAAAATTAGATGGGCATGGTAGCACATGCCCATAATTCCAGTTACTTGGAAGGCTGAGGCAGAAGGATTGCCTGAGCCCAGGAGGTCTCTACAATAAATCAAAAAATTAGACGGGCCTTTTTAGTGGCTGTGGTGGCCATGGGTGGGCCACTGAACTCCTACCTGGGCAGCAGAGTGAGATTCCAACTCAAAAAAAAAAAAAAAATGGACTAGAAGTGTGGGTTGTTCTCCAAAGAGGGATACAAACATGGCCAGCTGGTATGAAATGGGGCTCAGATCACTGCTCACTGGAGAATGCAAATCAAAACTTCGGTGAGGTCAGGCATGGTGGCTCGTGCCTGTAATCCCAGCACTTTGGGAGACCAAGGCAAGAGGATTGCTTGAGCCCAGGAACTTGAGGCTGGGTGACATTGCAAGACCATATCTCTACAAAATAATAAAATTAGCTGAGCTTGGTGGTGCGTACCTGTAGTCCCAGCTCTTCAGGAGGCTGAGGCGAGAGGATCACTTGAGCCCAGGAGTTCAAGACTGCGGTGAGCCATAATTGTGCTCCAACCTGGATGACAGTGAGATCCCAACTCAAAACAAAACAAAACACTTCAGTGAGACATCACTCACACCTGACATGATTGCTGTTATCAAAAAGATAAGATAAAAAGATAGCAAGAATTGTGAGGAGGTGGAGAAACTGGAACCTTTGCACACTGTTGGAGGGAATGCAGGATGGTGCAACTGTCATGGAGGCCCCTCAGACACTTAAAAATAGGGATTGAGCGTGGTGGCTTATACTTGTAATGACAGCATTTTGGGAGGCTGAGGCGAGAGGATTGTCTGAGCCCAGGAGTTCAAGACCAGCCTGGACAACCTGGTGTGACCTCAACTCTACAATAAATCAAAAAATTTGCCAGGCATAGTAGTGGCGCAGCTACTTGCAAGGCTGAGGAGGAAGGATTGCCTGAGCCCAGCAGGTTGAGGCACTACACTCCAGCCTGGATGATAGAGCGAGACTCCAACTCTTTAAAAAAAAAGTGTAACTTAAGAATTTTACCCACTTAGCATGTACGATTCAGCGGCATAAAGCATCTTCACAGTTATGCAGCCATCACTACTGTCTAATTCTAGAACTTTCTCGTTACCCCAGAGTGGGGACCATGATCACTTCTGCCCTCTCCAGCCTTGCCACCTCTAACCTACATCCACAGATTTGCCAGTTCTAGACGATTCCTCCAACGACCCACACAGCCTGTGGCCTTGTGACTGGCCTCTCCCCACGCCATTGAGGCCCGTCCGTGCAGTTGTGCATCAGAGCCTCCTGACTGTCATGGCGGAGTCATGTTCCAGTGCTTGGCCACGCCATGTATCCCCTTGCCAGTTGTCTCCACCTCTGACTGTTGTGAGGGGCTCCATGAGCTTCTGATGGTGCTCATGAGCTCGTCCTTGTGATATCCAGACCCGCTTCCCTGCTGTCTCCTTCCTGTCCTCAGTATTCATTCTGCTGCTCAGTAGAAGGTGCCACGTGCACTTGGACCCACTCACTGGCATTTTCGTGCCTGGGTGTGAGTGCGGTTTGACGTTTTAGCATAAACAATGTGGTGTGTAAGAGCATCGATGTCAGGTCAGGCTCAGTGGCTCATGTCTGTCATCCTAGCACTTTGGGAGGTGTAGTCGAGAGGATTGCCTGAGCCCAAGCGTTCCAGACCAACCTGGATAACTTGTCAAGACCTCGTCTCTATAGTAAATCAGAAAATGAGCCAGGTGTGGTGGTACTCGTCTATGGTTCCAGCTACTTGGAAGGCTGAGGAGGAAGGGTCACCTAAAGCCCAGCAGGTTGAGGCTGTGGTGGCTGTGACTGTGCCACTGCACTCCAACCTGGGCAACAGTGTGAGACTCTGACTCCAAAAAAAAAAAAACCAAGGAAACTTTAAAATAGAACTACTGGATGATCCAGCAATCCCTTTTACAGGAATTTATCCCAAAGATGGAAATTGGGGTTTTGAGGAGAGAGCTGCACTCCTGTGCTCACTGCGGCTAAAGAAAATGAGGTATATACATATGATAGGGTACTATTCTAACTTCAAAAAAGAAGGATCTCTTCTTTTTCTTCCCTGTGCCTCTGTCCAGGAGGTGGGTTGGGGTTCTGCAGCTTCTGAAGGGCGCGGGCCCTCCCTGGGTGTCTCAGATTCAATGTTGGAGGAAGCTCAGTGTTGCATCTGTGTGTCATGTCTACGTTAGAGAGGGCTACCATGTCCACTGCCCTTGCACCTGTCCCCCTGTGAAGGGGGCCCTCTTCTAGCTGGAGAAGCAGAGGTATGGGAGCATCATGTGATTGCCTGAGATGCGCCCACCCACCAGTGATAGGCCACCAATCAAGGGCGTGTCTCCCAGTTCCCTACTCAGGCTGGTGTCTGTCTTGAACCCGGGTCCTCTGCTGGAGTCAGTGCTGCCTCTAGGGCAACAGAGAATGGACAAGCACCTGAGGGAGCTCATGGTGGCAATTCAGTTACAAATCACATGGCTAAATCCACATGATTAAGTTAGAAAGTGATTGCGTGTACGTGATGTGTTTCTGGTTCTTTTGGGTTTTTTTAGATTTGGGGCACATGTTAGTTGCATGGATGTATCGTATGATGGTGAGGTTTGGGCTTCTGTTCAACCTGGCGCCCAAATAGTGAGCAGGGTATCCAGCAGGTAGCTTTTCAGCCCTTGCCCTCCACTTCCCTCCCTCTGAAGAGTTCCCGTGTCTGTCATGTCCGTGTGTAGCCTGTGTTTACCTCCCTCTTGAGAGAGAGCAGGCAGTTTTCCGTTTCTCTGGTAATTGGTGTGAAACGATAGCCTCCGGAAAGATAGATCAGAATAGTACCCCATCGTATGGGATACTTACCATCTACTGGCTACTCTTGACTAACGTGACGTTCCCAGCTGGTGGTTCCTGAACTTGAACATGTAGTAGCATCACCTTTCTGTGCTCAGTCGTGAGCCTTGGTATTACACTGTGTTCATGCACTTTTCCTTTAACCGCAGCATCGGTGTGTGGCTATTTTTAAAGACAAGCAGAACAAGCCGACTGGCTTTGCCCTGGGCAGTATCGAGGGGAGAGTCGCCATCCACTACATCAACCCCCCGAACCCGTAAGTGAACGGGCAGCTCGTGGGTTGCCACCTGATGCTCTTTCAGAAGGAGAGCTTATACAGGCGTTTGTTTTTCAGCGCCAAAGACAACTTCACCTTCAAATGCCATCGATCTAATGGAACCAACACCTCAGCTCCTCAGGACATCTACGCGGTACGTCTTCTAGAAACTCAACGTTGGCCTTGAAAAGACAGCTAGAAACTAGACCTATAGGCGGCCAGCTGAGTAATTTACAGAAAGGACTAGTCACTGAGAGTCTGTGTGTTCTCAGAAGTCTAGAGAGAAATGGCTTACGCTGCCAGCCTCCATTTCCCATGTTGACAGATGTGCTTGTAGAATCATTGTCTGTCTCAGGGTGTTTGGGAGGGTCTCACCTCCCTCCGAGTGCTGGTGGGCCCTTGCACGCAGAGCCGAGCCTGGGGACTTGCACTTGCTAACAGGAGAAAGACATTTCCCGAGGCGTGCCCCTCGTGTTTCCAGCTGTCACACACGTCAGTGTCTGTCGCCGTCTCGCCACCCGAGACGAGAGTTCCTCCCAGGCTGGCTGTGATGCAGGGAGCATAGCTGACTTTTTCCTGCTCCGTGGGCAGCAGCTCTAAGGAGATATGTGTGCACTTGCTTCCATAGCTCACACGGGCCATGTGTGTTGCCAGAACCTTCTCACTGTGCTTGTTTGTCCTTGCAGGTCAATGGAATCGCATTCCATCCTGTTCACGGCACTCTCGCGACGGTGGGGTCTGATGGGAGATTCAGCTTCTGGGACAAAGATGCCAGGACGAAACTGAAAACGTCAGAGCAACTGGACCAGCCGATATCGGCCTGCTGCTTCAACCACAACGGCAACATCTTCGCATACGCCTCCAGCTATGACTGGTCCAAGGTGAGCGCTCTGCCTGCCCCGGGGCCCTGGGCCGCCAAACCAGGCTGTGGTTTTGGAATTCCTCTTCTCTGGACTCAGTGTGTCCTTGGGCAGGTCACTGTCCCCTCCCTACAAGGGGAAACAGCAGGGCCTGCTCAAAAGACTGTGGGAATTCTGGTTTCTGGACAGGCTTCAGTCAGAACCAGCACATGGGAGGCACTTGGTTGGTGTGTAGCGTCATGCCTGCTCTGTTCCTGGCTCAGGCACTGGCCTTGGGGCACAAGCACTGGCTTTGGGGCACAGGGTGGCCTGGAGCTTTTGCCTGGGAGGCATTGGTTAGTTGGTTGGGGCAAGGGCAGTTGGCAGCTGGCAGGAGCAGGGTACATCTTGGGACCTCTGAGAGTGGTGGTGAAGTGTGCACTCGGCCCTGGGTCCCAGACCATGTGGGGCAGGTTGGCTGCCCTCCAGCCTGCCTGTGTCTGCTGCTGGGCTGCTGGCTCTGGAGAGTGCGTCTCCACTGTGTTTATGGTTCTCATCTTCTCTCCCACCCCATTTGCTCCACAGTAGCGTTCCAGCCTCTCCCTGCCTCTTACTTCTTGATGGGGAGGGCGCCCACCCCGTCTGTGCTGTGTCCACCTCTGCTGGCCCCTGCCTTCTCCCACCTACCCCACACAAGTGGCCCCTTACCCTCAGTTCCCAATGTTGTCTTTTCTGCCCTTCTCTATTTCTTGTGCTGTCCACAGCTCCCCCTCCGTCATACAGGAGGCCTTAGAAGTGTTTCCCCTACTGCCGGGCATGTGGAGCGTGGCATCAGCACCCACCCTCTTTGCTCCTGCCCTGCGTACCTTCTCCTTTCCTCCTGGGTACTCTGTGGCCTCCTGGGCTGTGCTCAGAGTCTCGTTGGCCAAAGGCCATCGTGCTTTTCTTTTGACCAGAAGACTGGAAAGCCACTCAGCTAAGAGCCCTGATGAAGGGCGGGTAAGCATTTGCACTGATGGTGCAAGCTACCACGGGGTTCTTCCATGAACCTGCTATTCTAGGAGCAGGACAAGCTGTGTGCTCCTCAGCCAGGTGCAGACACAGTGCTGGCAAGGCACGCACATACACAGAGCCTAGTGAGTTGTTCCATGTAAGCAGGCACTCGTGCACATGCGAAAAGAGTAACCAGTGACGATTGGCTTAAGTACTACAGGGGGGAGGCCAAGGCGGTTAACAGGGTCCGTAGCGGAGGCCATGGCAGGTAGTGCTAAGGCCAAGAGCCCCCTGCACACGGTGCAGTGAGAGCATCGTGCATGGACTTGGGAGGGGTGGGGTGCATGCTCGGCCCCCTTGCGTGCTGGGGTGGGGCATAGGGTAGCCTTCCCTCCAGCCCCGACATCTCCCTGGTCAGTGGTGTGCAGCTTGTGGAATGCTCGCCATGGGCAGATGTCTTGAATCCCAGTGAGTCAATGCTGGACCCAGAGTCCCTGACTGCTGATCTGCCAACTTGTGCCTTCCCAGGCCCGGCAGCCGAGTGACACAGGTGGGAAAGGGGTCTTGGGAAAAAGCAAAGCCCTCCTGGCCAAATCCTCCTTGTCCTATCTGGAAGCGTCCCCCCTGTCTGTGCCAGGCACTGCGGTCTGTCCTCGGTCACCAGGCTCTCCTCTCTCGGTCTCTTCTGTTCCTGTTTCCCAGCATATCCCTGCTCCTGACCTTGCTCCTTGGGCCCCTCCTCTGGCCACCCCCAGCCCCTCCATGTCTCTGCCCAAGTGGCCCCCTCAGCTCCCCCAGGTACTGTGTTCCGAAGGCTTCGTCTCTGCTCCCCAGCCGGCAGCTTGGAGAAGCTTGACCTGACCCTTCCCCTGCTTCTCTGGTTTTCTGTCTCCTGAGGGCTGCAGCTGGGGTCCCTGAGGCCCTCGCCATGGGTGTGCAGATCCACCTGGCCTGTCTGCCCCCCAGGCTGGCTGTCTGTTGTGGCTCAGGGCTCCTCTTGTGGCCTTTCCTTTTAAGCAACTTTGTTGAGGGGCCCTTGAGGTGCAGTGAGTGGTACACGTTGAACATGTGCAACATGTGCGGTGTGATCGTTTTCAACATCTGTAAATACCCTCAGCACCCCCCACAGGCAGGATTAGTGTTTTCATCTCCCCCAGTCTTCCCCACAGGCCCAGAGTCAGGCTCCCTGCCGTGTTGCTGTAGCTTAGTTTGCATTTTCTAGAATTTTATGTAAATGGAGTCACACACTATGTACACACTTCTGCTTGACTGGTTGGTTGTGTAATTGCCCCTGCTGTGGTGTGTGCCACGTGTGCATTGCTCCTTGGTGCCGAGGGGTATCCCTGGCAAGGTGCACTGTGTGTTTACCTGTCACCTGTGTGAGCCTCACTCTTGACTTTGTGAGGACAGCATGCCTCTTGGCTCTGCCTGGGTCCCTCTGGATTCCTCATATGCTCAACCCTGCAGCTACAACAACATTCTACATTTTGCCTGGCATTCCACTTGGGGCTCTGGATGGTATATACCCTTGAAAACACAGAGGTAGATTGGAAGAAATGAGGAAGCCAGTTGCTTAGAGTGCTGTTTAAAAATTGAAGTGATCAAATTCATATGAGTGGTTGATGTCAAACTGTGGCAGGGGATACGGAAGTTACAGTCTTTCCAGCAAAAAAAACTCGCTTCCGGGAGTTTCCATTGCTCTTTGTTCAAGTATAAAATCATAACTGTGTGGGACTCACATTCGCATTCTGTTTGACTTGAGTTCAGAAATGCCACTGGCCACTGTTGAGAGAACTTTTAGCGCCTTGTAGGCTGAGCATAAAAGCAGATCATTGCAGTGCGGGGGGCCGCGTGCACCAGCCTCAAGGACGCTTCCTCCCCAGGCTCTTGCCACCGTCTGTTCCAGGTCACCTGCCCGGCCTGTCCTGCTCGCCTCTTTCTGGTCTTAGATCTGACCCTGTCGCTGACCGGCCGCCAGCTTCCTTTTCCCAAGAGGCACGAGACTTGACATGTAAAACGCGCCTGCAAAATACTACCTTGCCTTTTAATAATAAGATCGTTGGCTTTCTTTTTTTATCTTTAGGGACACGAGTTTTATAATCCCCAAAAGAAAAACTACATTTTCCTGCGTAACGCTGCTGAGGAGCTGAAGCCCAGGAACAAGAAGTAGGGCCGGGCTCCTGGGCTGCGGAGCTGTTCTCGCCACCAGCCTCGTCTCCGTGCAGACTTGGGTCCCAAGTTGATGGATGTCAGCGTGGATGTGGACTTCTGCCCTGGAGGAAGCACGTCCTGCTCACCATCAAGCTGCATCACGACAACTCGTGTGTCCACGCCACTGCCTGCTGTGAAGTTTCTGACTCTGAGGGGTTGAGATAGTTAGTCCTGGCAGCTGGATTCCCAGGGTGGCGCCCATCTCTTCAGGAGCTTCACTTGCAGCGTGTGTGACCAAGGACGTTGGGGACGGTCTTGGTCCCCTGTACTGTGTTTCGTAATAAAAGATTCTGACGATGCCTCCTGAGCTCCTTGGTCCTTACTGCCCCACCCTGTCCCCTCAGAAACATCCATTGCGCTCGGTGTCAACGCTGGGCTCTGAACTCTGGTTTCTGACCCTCTCGGGAGACACAGACTCCTCATGCCTGGAGAAAGGATGGTCCAAGCTGGACACTACGCTCACTTGTGTAGGGGTAGAGCTGAAGTGTGCTCCTCCCCCCACGCCCCCGTGCTCCCTGACTCCACCTCCTTCCTCCCGCCCTACAGTCCCTGTGCCCCCTGGCTCCATGGACAGATCTGGTGATTCATGAGACTGCTGCTTGTGCTGAGTGACCAGCCCAAGCAGGTGACACTGTGTGACTGTCACGTTAGAACCCAGGTTCCCTGTGTGGGAATCGCACTGAACTCGTGCCCTGGTAGTGGTCATGGTTGTTGCTTTTTTATTTCATGTAGTTTAGAATTCCTGACTGGTAAGTATTCCAGATGAAGTGCAATGGCTGTTTTTGAGTGTGCTGTATCTTTACCCTGTGATCCCTAGTGCTTATGCCTTGTTGTTGGCGGCTGGTGTGTAAACCTAACCTGCTGAGGGTGAAATTCTGGTGTTGATAATGCTGTAAGAATGTGTTTGCCGACTCATGAAAACAAGGAAAATAAAATTTTCTACTGGAAGAGACTGCACTTAGTGGTTTAAATTCGTCAGCGGTTCACAAATGAATTCAGACCCATTAACTCTTTGGCCCTGGTTTTTAGCCCGAAAACTTATGTTTTTGGAGATAAAAGGTACTGCGGTAGACAGAAATGGATTTCCAGGTTAACCACTCACAGCTAGTTTCCTCTGTCCTTTACAAATCAACCTGTGGTTTATGATCCGTATGTGGGTGCGGGGGGAGTTTCAGCTTCATACCTCATTGGCCGCTGCCGTTGGGGCTGGGTAGAGACCTGTCAGCTTCAGTGTAGCTGGAGTTCCGATATTTTTTTTACAAGCTAGTGGCTAGCTATGGTTGAAGTGATACAAAATAGTGAGTCTAAGTCATAAGCCTTATTATTTTTTATTATTATTGTCAGGGACTCACTTTGTCACCCATGCTAGAGTGCAGTGGCAGGATCACGGCTCACCACAGCCTCAACCTCCTAGGCTCAGGTGATTCTCCTGCCTCAGCCTCCCCAGTATCTGGGACTAAAGGTGCATACCACCTTGCCCAGCTGATTTTTTGTAAAGACAAGGTCTTGCTACGTTGCCCGGGCTGGTTTTGAACTCCAAGTAATCCTCCCACCTCGGCCTCCCAAAGTGCGGGGACTGTAGACGTGAGCCACGGAGCTGAGTCCTGTGGGCTTTTCAGATGCTCTTTTCCATGGTCAGACCTTGCTACCTCCCAAGGGGAATGTTTTTGTCACTGACAAATTTAACAAATGCGGAAGTCCAAGGTTGGATTTGGCTGCCAGAAACCAGGAGTAAGAACAGGCCTTGCTGCCCACCAGGATGTGTGTCCTCATAGATGCCGGTAGGACTCATTTCTCCACGAACCCCAAAGCCCAGGGAGTGCGCAGCACGTTTGCTAGGATGGGCCGGAATTCCTCACGGACATCATACTTCTTAGTGCTTCTCTTCACCTTTCCTGAGATGCCCAGAGTCTCAAGGACTCTCCCTCCTCAACCTTCACATCCCTGCAAGCACCGGGGCTGTAGGCTGCATGCAGTGGGTGCTCGCTCAGGATTCATAAACTTGATGACATCTTCTAGTTTAAAAAGATACCAGTTTTGTTTTTTGGGGTTTTTTTGTTTGTTTTTTGTTTTTTTTTGGTGGAGATAGGGGTTTCACTATTGCTGCCCAGGCTGGTCTCGAGCTCCTAACCAAGCGATCTTCCCACCTGGTCCTTCAAAAGTGCTAGGATTATAGGCATACGCCACCGTACCTATTTGGTTTGGTATGGGTTTTTCTAAGTGGAGGTCTCACTCTGTTGCCTAGGCTGGAGTGTGGTGGCATGACTGCAGCTCACCACAGCCTCGACCTGCTGGGCTCAGGTGATCCTCCTGCCGGGACTCAGGCACGCACCACCACACCTTGAAAATTTTTAGATTTTTTTTGTGGCAACGAGGTCTTGCTATGTTGCCCAAGCTGGTCTTGAACTCCTGGGCTCAAGTGATCTTTCCGCCTTGGCCTCCCAAAGTGCTGGGATTATGGGCATGAGCCACTGTGCCCAGCCCTCAGTGTCACCTTGACTGCTTTAATAAATGTCAAGTCATCCTGCCACTGAATATTTACACCTAATTAAAAGTAGAGCTGCTCCAGCCTGGGCAACTTGGTGAGACCTTGTCTCTATAATTAAAAAAAAAAAACAGCTGGGCATGGTGGTAGGCGCCCGTAGTTCCAGCTACTTGGAGGGCTGAGGTGGAAGGATCACCTGAGCCCAGGAGGTCGACGCTGGGGTGGCTGTGAGCGTGGCACTGCACTCCAGCCTGGGCGACAGAATGAGACTCCAACTCAAAAAATAAGTAAATAAAAATAAAAATAGGGCTTCTTTCATTGAAAGTGGAGCGTAGACACCTCGCAGGGAAGACAATTGTGTTCTTTCACTTAATTTTTTTCAACGTTTTACGATGAAAGTTTTCATGGGGAATGTGGAACTCTGTCTGCCGCCTCTGAGATTCCACCATGACATCGGGCTTCCTCTCCATCTTTTCACCTGGTGTCACCAGCTTCTCCCCCTACACCCCCTTTGTGGCTTCACTTTGGGAGGCAGAGGCAGTAGGATTGCCTGAGCCCATGGGTTCGAGACCAGCCTAAGCAACTTGGCGAGAACTCGTCTCTACAATAAATCAAAAAATTAGCTGGATATGTTGGCACATGCCTGTGGTTCTAGCTACTTGGAATGCTGAGGTTGAGGCTGCCGTGGCTGTGAGCATGCCACCGCACTCTAGCTTGGGTGACAGAGTGCGACTCCAACTCAAAAGAAAAAATAAACAAATCGATCCACTTAAAAATCTAAAATGTGTTGCTGCCATAATTGTATAGGAAAATTCAGTATATGGAGAATCAGTATCTTTTGCCTGAAGTAGAAAAAATAACCCTAAGAATTAATAAAATGGAAATAAACAATAAAAATGAGACCTGAACTTTGGAAGTGAGAACGCACTACCTAGAGTCACCTTCAAGGGACAAACACACCTCCCTAGAAAAGTCTATGAAGATGGTACAGTGTGTCTCAGGCTACTGGATGGAGCCCTTCTGCCATGTTGGGTGCCATTTGGGAAATAACGTTTTTCTTGTGTAACCAAAACTCGAGTCTCCCTGGAGGAGGTAAGAATTGAACCAAGCCTGTGCTGGAAAACACACAGCACATCTAAGCCCACGTGCTTCCAATTCCATCATAACCCAGCTGCAGAGGGTGGAATGAATGCAATTGTTGCAACTGGCTTTTTTTCCAATTGAGCCAAAATAAAGCACGGAACATATCTGAGCACATTGCAAAGCAAGAGTAAGTGTGGTTTTCTGTGACTTTGCTTCCATTATGTACGTGTATATGTTACACCTTTTGACATTCTGATGTGGGCTTTTTCTCTGTCACATTTTATATGATTTAGGAGTTCTTGGATTCAGTAATCTCAAGTGTGGGCCATAACTGTTTATACATGCTCTCCAAAGCGGGAAGGGTAATGACATTGAAATGTCCATATAACACTGCACTTAAGAACACGTGCTGGATGCGGGCTGCCTGCCTTCGATCCCAGTTCTGTGGCCAACTTTGCAAACATGGGCTGTAACCCTTTGCTAAAGCATGTGATTTAAACTTCTCTGAGTCTCAGTGACCGCATCCATGAAATGAGAGATATTAAATGTAACCATCAGCTGGGTGCAGTGGCTCATGCCTATAATCCCAGCATGTTGGGAGGCCGAAGTGAGAGGATTGCCTGAGCTCAGAGGTTCAAGACAGCCTGGGCAACCTGGCAAGACCTCATCTCTACAATAAATCAAACAATTAGCCGGGCATGGTGGTGCATGCCTGCAGTTCCAGCTACTTGAAAGGCTGAGGCAGAAGGATTGCCTAAGTCCAGCAGGTCGAGGCTGCAGTGACTATGAGCGTGCCACTGCACTCCAGCCTGGGCCATAGAGTGAGACTCCGACTCAAAAAAAAAAAAAAAAAAGTAGCCATCAGCCAGGCACGGTGGCTCATGCCTGAAATCCCAGCACTTTGGGAGGCTGTTGTGGGAGGATTGCTTGAACCCTGGAGTTCGAGACCAGCCTGGGCAATATAGCAAGACCTCGTCTCTAAAAAAAACAAAAAAATTAGCTGGACATGGTAGCACGCACCTGTAGTCCCAGTTACTTGGGAGAGGTTGAAGCAGGAGGATTGCCTGAGTCCAAGAACTCAAAACCAGCCTGTGAGACATAGCAAGACCTCATCTCTACAAAATTCAAAAAATTAACTGGGCGTGGTAGCACCTGCCTGTAGTCCCAGCTACTCGGAAGGCTGAGGTCAAGTTTGTGGTGAGCCGTGATCATGCCCCTGCACTCCAGGTTGCCCAACAGAGACCCCGACTCAAAAACAGTAAAGTAGCCATCACAAGCGACCGGTGTGAGCAGTCAGAGTTAAAGCATGACAAGTGCGTCTGTGGCTGGCCTATGACAAGAGCACTAATGTGAGCTGCCATCACTATCACCGCTGGGGGGGGGCAGCTGTGAGAATCTACTCGGTGGTCCTCTGTGGGTGTCCCGTAGACAACAATCTGTGGATCCAGGTGGGCTTTAAGGGGGTTGTCCTGTGGGGGAGGCTGTGTTTAGGTCAGACCAGCAGATGGCGCCAGTGACCCCAGTGCCAAGATTGGAGAGCATGTTCTGGGTTCGATGTCACAGTCTCGGTCTTGTTAAAAGAAACAATGTCCGCCAACCCTCTCCATTCGCTGCTGTTAAGCTCTTACTTTGCTTGGGACCAGGGGCCGTGGCTCACACCTGTAATCCCAGCACTTTGGGAAGCCAAGGTGAGAGGATCGCTTGAACCTGGGAGGTTGAGCCAGCATGGGCAACACAGCAAGAACTCAACTCTACGCAAAACTTCTTTAAAAATTTACAAAATAGGCCAGGCACCGTGGCTCACGCCTATAATCCCTGCACTTTGGGAGGCTGAGGCGAGAGGATTGCCTGAGCCCAGGGGTTCAAGACCAGCCTGGGCAACTTGGTGAGACCTCATCTGTACAATAAATAAAATAAAAATTAGCTGGGCGTAGTGAGAGATATTAAATGTAACCATCAGCTACTTGGAAGGCTGAGGCTGAAGGATCGCCTGAGCCCAGCAGGTCGAGGCTGCAGTGGCCATGAGCGTGCCACTGCACTCCAGCCTGGGCGACAGAGTGAGACTCTGACTCAAAAAAAAAAAAATTTAAAAATTAGCTGGGTGTGGTGGCTGAGGCAGGAGGTGGGAGCCCAGGAGGTCGAGGCCGTAGTGAGCTACGATCCTGCCAGGCTGGGACGTGGAATCGAAAGACTGTTTATCCTGTTAGAAGAACATTCTTAAAAATAATCCACTTTTTGGAAAGGTTGAAGGCTTCCTTAGAAAACACTCAGGTAGACAATGTGTTGGAGATCAGATTCCTGATGATCCTGTTTCAAACCGAAGTCCTCGCTGGTTTCCTTGCAGAAACCTTGGGAGCCTTGGGGCCATGGGTGTGGGGCGCT